TGATTCCATGATTATTTACACCAGTGGAGGAGATCTGCTTTCCCAAAAAGTATATGAATCTTGGGATAGAGGTTTGGTGGTAGGGGGAGGGTACAACTATTTATCTCTTTTCAAGAATAAACTTGAGTGTATCTTCACTCAGAGTCTCAGATAAGACCAACACATTCTCTATGATTTGCTTATTAAAATCTAACACTTCCTACAGCACAATTGAGAGATTTTTTAGCCCTGCTGAGTTCATGTGGCCTGCACTTCTATGTTTAGGTTTGTACTTGTTACATTTGTGTTTCTGATTCCCTATTATAGCTTTTGCAACTGATCAATTTCAAGTGAACTTGATAGAAAGAATACCACCTGAGGCTGTTGGGTAGGGCTGCAAGTGAGCCCTGTTAGTGTTCCATGGATGAAAAGGCTGCACATTCTGAGCTCAAGGGTCTGGATTTATGAACAAACCATGGAAAAAGTTTCAATCAACACTCACAGTCCATGACACAACCAATCTTTAATTCCAGTTATTACTGCTTGTTTTGACTAGAAGGGGAATGAATATGTCCTGAACCAACAGAAAATAGACTGCCTGTTGAACTTGGCTCAGGCTCAGAGAGGCTTTAAATATACTGGGGTTTTGCAGATGTTCCTAATTGCTCCACTAGTTGAAGTAAAAAGTTGTACCACATCTAAATTCATGGCAAAATTATTCATCATTTTTTTATAAATTTGAGTTTTCAAATACTATTTCTATCAAGTTCACTTGAAATTGATCAGTTGCAAAAGTTATAACAGAGAATCAGAAACACAAATGTAACAAGTACAAATTTCAAATACTTTCAAAAGTAGTCTTCTATACTTTTTTGATTGACCTCTTTTTTTTATTTATTCACCTTATTAAAGTAGATTTGAGATGTGAATATACTCTGGTGAGAAGGATTCTAGCTTATTGTTTTTTACTCATTGCTTGTAGTGTAAGGTTTTCCTGCAGCATTTGATATTAATATGTCACAATGAAACATCTGTTTTACATTATGTGGGTACATTGATTTAGATAATTAAATTATTGCTAGCAAGCAGTTTTCTGCTATTTTTCTGTGTTTTTCGTAGGTTACAAATAATTCAGTAGGTTATAAATAAGATCTGCCTGCTTTTTCTTGAGACATCTTATTTGTGCCTCGGAGGTTTCCTACCCTATGGGAAGTATTGAAAGCCACAGTTGCCATTCTTTTCTAAAATGTAGTCATTTCTTCCTCCTTCTAAAAGTAACTCTAAATTGGTGGGTTCCCCTCTGTTTTTTATAAAAATTGTAATATAAAATAAAGGTGTTTTCTTTTTAGAAAGTTGCTAACATAAATAGAAGTATTACAAGTATAAATTAGTAAGTTTGTGCGTTGTATTGTCATACTGATATTATTTCTGTCCATAGTTCTTGCTGTTCCACACAGTCAGATGTTTTTACACCTCCTCACCTCCTGTTAAGAGCTTTGCTGCTTCTAAGTATTCACACACTATTATCTTTCTATTAATCCTCCACAAATATATATATATATGTACATAAATATATACACACTGGAAGAAGACATATATAGATATATATATATATATATATATTTTCTGGAATAATATTCTAGTTATCTTTACTGATTTATTTGCCAACTGAGGGTTCAAATAAATACTTCTCACCAGATCCATGGTTTGCTGATAAATATTTGGTACACCTCTGCCACTAAAATGTTTTTCTGTTAAGGGTTGGTATTTCCTGTCATTATCATTATAGGTTTTCATTCCTATAAATTTATCTCTTTTCATGTGATTGGGATTTTTAGAAAACTTTTTTTTTCTAAGATGCCTGAATTATTAACATTACCATGTTGCTAAATTTATAAGAGCTACCATTCAGCTGTAAACATCCATGTTTGTTTTGAGATGTTTTCTGTTCTTTTTGGGCAGTGAAATAATGTATCATTGTTTCTTTTCATAATTTCATGAAGCCAAGAGGATAGAGCATGGTTTTGTACTTGGTTTTGCAGTGATGGAAAACTGATTGATGATAGCGTTGAGCAATAGAAGAGAGGTCTACTTATATTTCTGGATGAGTGAACAATTAGTACAAGTCATCAAATATTCTCCAACACTGTCAGAATGAAAATTTAATAGAAAACTTAAAATTCAATAGATTTTTCACAGTTATTCCATTGTTAGCTTCACATATATTAATAAAAAAAATTATATACTAAATATATTTTAGAATAGCCAAACCAGATCACCCTATTATTTCCAGAAATAAATACTTTCTAATAAAGAAAAACTCAAATATTTGTGTGGTAGCCTTCTTGATCATTCAACATTAAATAGATGTACAGTGAGAATATTATTTATCTTCATCATTTCCAGGATGAGAAGATTTGGAGCATTCTTTCATATCAGCTTTAATTAGATCAGCCCCACCATTTTTAGTTGACTGTGTAGATCATTTTGTATTTGCATAAGGAATTTGAGGGAAATTACCAACTATATAGAGCTGAAATGCTTGGAATGCAAAAAAGCAAAGGAGAACTGTCAGCAAACTGATTCTGCAGTGTGATACAGCATGGAAAACAGAACTGCAGATTATTGGGCCAGCTACCCAAAGACATGAATGAAGATAAGGTGATAGCTTCCTCCCATATAGTTACCTCAGGAATATTTGGGCAGAAAAAAGGAAAAAAAAATATTAACATCTTAACAGTAAAATTGGGTCATTTTCCAAGTTCTTTCAAAGGTATTCACATAAGCTTGAGTTTTGTAATTAATATTACAAAATACTTTGGAAGGAAAACTGCTGCATCAAGATAGGCCTTTAGTCAGTATAGTTTCAACTTCCATGGAAAATGAGGGGAAAAAATCCTGTACAAATCTGGACGGCTGCATTCATTGTGTTAGGAAAGAATATGCAGCTTCAAAATGTACCATTGATAGTTCATTAAGAGTGAAACAAATTGAATTCAGGATTCTATTTTATAGTGAACCAGTAATTTAATTACAGAACTTTGACAAAATAGGTAAGTGATCTGAAGAAAACAGTGGTAAACTCAAAAGGCCAAGTTCCAAGTTGGACACAGAAGCAGAAACAATTGTCTGACTGTGGGATGGGCATTAGCTCACTAGGTAGGAGACTTACAGAAAGACAACTTGGTATTGTACTGGATCACAAAGGAATGAGGATGAGATTTCAAGAAAAGTTCTGTGTCAGACTGCCTGTTCCAGAGGACATGGCTGTGCTGCTGTTCCTGTTGTGTGGCTACCAAGGCGTTAGGGATGCTTTAGTGAGAGTGAGTTCAAGTGAGCACAAGAAAAAGGGGACAGGGTAAAGAAAGCACAGGATGAAATGGCAAGACAGGAAAATAGAGCGTGTCATTAATTTAGGGATGAAAGCCAGATGGGAGTAGATAAGCTTGCTGAAGTTCTGGGCTGTATTTCAGTTTGAAGATAAATCAGTTGATATTGTAACTGGGGAACAACTGAATGGAGAATAAGGGAGTAAAAATAACTAAAGGAGAGGAAGAGAATGGATTCAAGAGGGATCAGGAAATTATTTGTCAGTATATTTGGAATTCATCTGTCATTTGAAGAGTGTGAGTGGAGTAGGATAAGGTATTGTTGAAAGCAGTAAACTATTCATTAGTTTAACACAAAGCCTCAGCTGTTTTGGAATTTAAGGAATTCCTAGAAAGAATTAAGTTGCATAATAATAAAAATATGATTTTGGCGTAATGAAGTAATCTGTCAGTACAAGTAAAACCATGCTCCCTTTCTCTCATTTCAGCAGTATATTTAGGGAATAAAAATTTGCCCAAATAATATCAGTTTTTCTTTCCAGATTAATTTATGCATAAGCTGGAATTCTGCTCCCTGTGGAGTTATAGAGTAGCATATTCAGATTTCCAAAAAGAGGAAATAGAACAGTCTGTCCACTAAGAACTGGAAAGTGGAGGTGTGGGAGCTCTGTGTATCCATCCCATGCCGTACGTCCTTGTAGGCTGAACTTAGCAGGTGTCTGCGTTGTTACTCCCATGGCATTTCTCTGTCTGGAGTTCTGAGTATCAGTCCTGCTCTCCAGGAGGTCCAGACGCTTTCAATGTGCATTTCAAAGGATTTTAGATTGTTCTCTAGCCGCTATTCTTACGTCCTCTAAGAGAAGCTCCACGTCAAAAGCAACAATGAACAGAAGTCCTACGGAGACACCACCGTGTGTCACACCACTGTGTGCTTTCCCGATACCTCCCGAGCGAGCTGTTCGGGACTGGCGAGCTGTTCGGGATGGGCGAGCTGTTCGGGACTGGCGAGCTGCTCGGGATGGGCGAGCTGTTCATGACGGGCGAGCTGCTCAGGACTGGCGAGCTGTTCGGGGCTGGCGAGCTGTTCGGGACGGGCGAGCTGTTCATGACGGGCGAGCTGTTCGGGACTGGCGAGCTGCTCAGGACTGGCGAGCTGTTCGGGACGGGCGAGCTGTTCGGGACGGGCGAGCTGTTCATGACGGGCGAGCTGCTCGGGACTGGCGAGCTGTTCGGGACTGGCGAGCTGTTCGGGACGGGTGAGCTGTTCGGGACTGGCGAGCTGTTCGGGGCTGGCGAGCTGTTCATGACGGGCGAGCTGTTCGGGACGGGCGAGCTGTTCGGGACGGGCGAGCTGTTCGGGACTGGCGAGCTGTTCGGGACTGGCCCTGCCCCAAGCTCCGGGCGCTGCGAGGCGCTTCGGCCGCCAGAGGGCGCGCCGGGTCAGGGCCGCTGTCAGCCGGGGAACGGCCGGGATAACCCAGAGCCAGGGAATGGCCGGGATAACCGAGAGCCAGGGAATGGCCGGGATAACCCAGAGCCAGGGAATGGCTGGGATAACCCAGAGCCAGGGAACGGCCGGGATAACCCAGAACCAGGGAATGGCCGGGATTATCCAGACCCACAGGAATGGCCGGGATAATCAGCTTTGCTTTCTTCCTGTATTTTTATATAGAGCACTGTGTTTGGGGAAAAAAATATGCAATAGGAAAAACCAGTCTATATTGTTTTTAACTTCACGGTGTCATTTTATTCATGGGCAAAGCAGATTGGTGAGAGACAGAAAGTAAGAAATGTAAAAAGAACTTTTAAAAGGTTCACACATTTTCATTTCAGCACTTATACACATTTTTTCCCCAATAATCCCTGCTTTTGCTCTGCTGGAATGTGCTAGGATGTTGTGTATGCCTGCATGAGACCAGGACCACACGTACTTGAAGACAGCTTTGCTGTAGATAGTGAGTGAAGCAGTTCAGAGTATCCAACTACATCTGCAGTGTCTAACACAAGTTACACCACAATCTTTGCTTTTCTATTTCTGTTACAACTTGTATTGGAGTCATTGAGTATAGCTGCACTTAGGCTCCTGAAACGGCACCTGTTGAAAAGTGGAACATTTGGGGGAAAAAAAAAATCAATGTTCCTGTGTTCTTACACAATTTACAATGAGTGGATAATATATGACACAGAGTATCTTCCTAATTTTTTTTGTGATAGTTCTGTCATCTAACCAATTACATCTTTTTTTTTTTTCTTCCTTATATTATTTCCACCCGATTCTGTTTATAGAGTCATTCTGAAAGAGGGAAGCATCTCCTGAGAAACACGCTTAATCCTTACAGTATATCTGAAAGTTTTCTAAAATTGCATTTCTTTTCAAACCCCAAGGCCTCTTTTACTTACCTTGAAAACAGATTTGTATTTCTGATGCAATTTCTACATCCAGACAGTTTTTTTGGCATCAGCTTACACAGTTTTGTTGTTTTTAGAGCAGCTGTATGAATTACACACCAGGAAAGTACGTGGCATTACAGCTGTTTGGTTTTTTTTTACAGTGGCAGAAAGGCCTTGGATATTATACCAAAAATAGCTTCTCAGATTTTTCACAGAAGAACATGTGATACCTTGCACTGGCAACCCTGAGCAAAACTTCTGCTGATCTCCTGTGAGTTTTAGCTATCACTGTGTCTTTCAAAATGCGTGGGCAGCTGGCACTGCAAGTGACCTTCATACAAGGTTTCTGTGCTGTCTAAATGCATTTTGTGGAGTAGAATAATCAGTAGTGAGTAAGCCAAATGATATTTTTAAGCCTCTACTTTCTCTTACAAGTAGCTGTGTGGCAGTAATGCTCTGGGAAGCTCTTGTGGAGAGCTTGAGTGACACAGCTACACCTGAAATCAAAGAGCCCCCACAAGAAGTGGGCTGGGAACCTTCACACACAAATCTCAGCTACAGCTCCAAAGGAGGCAGAAGCCACATGCTCAGAACAAAAAACTAACTGAATAAAGGTACATGTTCCATTGAATCAATTGCTACGAGGCATGGTGTTTATAGGGTCAGACACATGGACTTTTCTTCTTTACTAGGGAAAACTAAGGATTACTACTTACTAAGGATTGAAAGAGGAAAAACAAAATATGTCTTACCAGGAACAACATGTAAATATCACAATGTTAAATAGGTTGGGTATCCTGAAATTGTGTTTTAATCAGCATCATAGCAGTTACTGCAATAGAACAGGTTGTGGCTACTTTGTATTTCTTCATTCTGATTTTTCTGTTTTGTATCTATGCTACACATTCTCTATGGCTTATAGCAGATGTTGTGGCATTGTCATTTATAGAGGCTGATTAATAAATCATTTACAATTGACTAGGTTTATGATCCAAGTATTAAAAACAGTGATTTCAGTATTTGGATACAATAGATTCATATTTGAAGAGTGTAAGGAGTTTACAATTTTTTAACATGCCAACTACTAAACTTGAATTTTATAAATTGATTTAAAAACTATGAATACAGGGTTCTTGTGTAATTCTGTTTCTTTATAAACCAGTACTTTAATACTTAAATATTCACTGATTTAGATTAAGGATGTTTTGTTCTACAACTATATACCAATATGCTGGAAACATCCAGTGATTGTTGATCTTTAGGAATAAGAAGCCCTTCCATATATATTCTTCTTCTTGTGATAATTTCATTTTAGGATAATGACAAATACAAATTTATTATGTGTCTAAAATACTATGCTAACTTAATAAATGAACAGAAAGTGTTATTTTGGGTAATGTAAGTTTATTCCCAAGATATGGCCCTGTAAGGACCTCTATAGAAAGATCTATTGCAGATATCACAAGTGAACAATATTTTTTATTACTGTAATATGCAAATAAGGTTGCTTTTGACAAAAGAGAAAGAGAAGATCTATGTATGAAGGATGCATATCTTTCAAAGAAAAAAAAAAGCAAATGATGAAAATGATCACTACAACATGTATTTCACCAATAAAAAATAGTTCAGTTCAAACGAGCCATCAGCAGCATTCCCACCAAGAAGACATTTAACCTGTAACAAAGAACTGATGTGAAAATTTACGTGCACATTTTCTCCAATAACAGAAGGTGATTTTAAGAAGTTACTGACTGTGTGTTCACACTGTGTGCTGCAGTCCAGTGCCACCTTAGTTGTCTTAAGTGAGTTTTAAAGGCCATACATAACTACCCTATATGATTCCACTGATGTAAATCTTAAAGTAATTCAGGGTTCCTTAAGGTTTTATTTTTTAACTTGGCTCATTTCAGTGATCTTTAAAAAATACTTTTTTAAAAAAAGTATGTCCCTGCCAACAGTTGTAGAAGTGCAACACTAAGAAGCTGGTGAATTGCAATATAGAACAATACACATTCAGAACTTTTTGTTAACCAACCTTGCAGCTATAAAGAAGACCAGGATATTGATACTGTTGTGTACTGTTGATATTGTTGTGTACTGAATTGTTTCCCAATAGTTCTTCAATATAATTGAATAGTGTCAATTGCTTTCTAAGGAATTCCAGTAGCATGTAGCAATATTAAACTAAGAACCTGATTTGTCATGCAAAGAACTTTCATAAAGCTAAGAGGATGAAAACTTACAATGGTTCTTATTTGACAGGAAAATTAACATCAGACTCACCTCTCAAAGCTGAGAAAAATATGCCCCGTACCACCATACACCATTCTGTGTTGGTTACCAGATCCTTAATGTTAAGAAAATTAATTTGAATATTTAAAATGTTTGTTAGCTATTCCATGCTCTGCAGTATTCTAATTTTCTAGTGAATAAACTTCTCAAACATGATGAATCTTTGTCAGTTCATGCTGTACATTACAAGCAGCAACATAACTGCTCATATGTGACAGAGTTGGTGAACAATTAAATTGAATTATAACAAAATTCAGTGTGCTGTAGTAGAGTTCATTCCCCTGGAAGGAGTGAGTGGCAATATTATTAAATTCTACAATAACTCTAATTAGGTAAAAGGACCAGAGAACTCAAACTCTTTCTGGAAACACACAGTCACAATGATATTTTCCATATGTTTCCTGTTTCTGCATTTATGGGTTTTTTACCTCAGGTGCATTTAGTGTCACAGCATTTAAAATGCAGCCTATGTATTGAGGATGGCTACTTTAGCTGCAGTTGCTGCTTTTAAAAAAATCTAAAAATCATTGAAGTAGAATCACAGAATATACTGGGTTGGGAGGGACCTGTTGAGTCCAACTGAATCACTTCAGAAATATAGGAGAACCTTTCTTCAGATTTGCATCACAGAAATAGTAATTTTAGTATGCTGAATTAATGGAATTATTATAGTAGCATTTCAGCAGTACTTGACTGGCCAGGCAAGAAATACAATCATTTTCTTATACTCAGTAACTAATCTTTCATCAGATTGAATACATAGTAAAAAGGACTTCCATAAATCATTCATGTCCTGACCAAATTCTCTCACAGGACTAGTAAATCAGAGTAACTGCACTGCAGTCAATGGATTTTCACCAATTAATGGTGAAAAATTAAAAGAGAAGCAAGGGTAAGGGTTCTTAGCATTTTTCTAATATTAAAATACTAGCAGTGTGCTTTAATCACTGTATTTGGTAGTTCTAAAGTAAAATATCTTAACTAATTTTAAAAGCATATTTCCAATAATTTATAAGCATTATGGAGCACATTTGCTTTCCATTTAAGTGCAGCTAAATGTGGTTGGTTCTGTAAGAAAAACATCTTCATACTGTCACAGAAGAGAAACATGAAAACAAAAAAGTTCTGTAAAAAAAAAAAACTTCTGGAATTTGTTCTATACTTGTGCTTCTTCTGTAGATTTTTCTCTTGGCTGTTTCTTTTGAATACAAGGTTGTATAAGTAAAAATATTATTCCCACCATGTATAGCAATCCAGCTATGTAAAAAGAAAAATCGTATTTTTGTGTGATGTCATAGATCCAACCTGGAAAATAGGACAAAACATATTTGTTACAAAGCTTGACAAAAAAGTACATTTTGTAGAAAATACAAAGAATACTTCACATTTCTTTCATGACCTTTCTGTCAAATCCACAGATGCTTCGTGGAAAAATATATTTTTCAAACAAGTTATCATAGGTCTGATTTTTGTAATCCCAAACCAATTAGTTCCTCCTCCTTATCACTGCCTCTGTAGAATGCCCAATACTGGTTCAAATGCTGTGCCTTGTGCAAGCAAACACATTCCCCATAGCTGTCTCCAAGCCTCGCATACCAATAGAAGACTGTTCAAGAGATACAATCTCAGTACTGCAGTGACTCTCATTCCAGCCTCAATTCCTTTGCAAAAACACATTAAAGTTACTTCTTCATTAAAGTCACTTATTCATTACATCGGGACGGTTTGACTACCCAAATGAGCAAAACTGCCTCACGCCACGCTGGCTGCACTGCGATGTACCCACAAGATCAGAAGCTCTCTTTACATCAGCTACTTGCTTCCAATTTGCTTTGTAACCAAAGACCAAATACAGAGACAGGTTTAGCACAGACTGGGAGGTGCTGAGGGAACGTGGCAGAGTAAAACACTGCTGCTTTCAAGGGGCACTGAGCGAGCTTTCTTCTTACTCATGTCGCTCATCCAGTGGTGGGGAGAGAAGGGGCTCTCGCTTTCCTGGGCTGCTCATGCTGCTGCTGCCTTCCCTTCAGCCTAGAGCTGCCCCTGGCTGACCATGGCCATGACTCCCAGGATTTCTCACAGCTTTCTTCTCAGCAGCACCTCTGGAAAAGAGAGCTGGAGTCTGATATAGTACTGACAATCAGTACCCGTATCTCTTCTGTACTCCCCTGCCTCTTTCTATGAGGAAATTTATAATGAATGTCTGTTTAAACCTAACTCTAGGGATAGCATACATACACTCTCCTTTCTGCTGGGGATGGCAGCAAAGAGCTTATGAGCAGTGCAGTCCCCAAAGTAAGTATTTCTGGCTGCAGGAAGGCAAAGCAAAGTTAGTTAAATCAACACATCAGTTGGCAGTTTGGAGGGGGGACACCCAAACACATAGTACAGTCCTTGGGGTAATGCTGCCTGCCCTGAGAACTAATCACCATTTCTTCATGTGGGTAAAGAAATGAGAATATACAGTGCATATAGTATAAAAAACATGAAAAAATAGGTTACACCTTTCTCATTACAAAAAAAAAAAAAAAGTATGATAACTATTTTAAGGAAACATACCATTGTAAAGATAAATTGTAATGGATTTGGGGTTATATCCAAGAACTGTAATTTGTAATATGAGGGCAGTGAGCTGGAATCCAGCAGATGTGACCATAAATCTGTACACTGTAAAGCTCAATGTTATGTCCATTCTGGAGCAGCTATGATTTTGTTAACTACACATGCTCATAGCATAAGAAAAAAAGTTTAATGAAAGTTTAATAATACAAAGAGTCACACGGTCATTACACAGACATCTGTTAGTTAGCAATTTGAACTTTTTACCTGCAAAGGGTGGTCCAAACAAAGCAGATATTCCGTTGGCACAAATGATGATGCCATAGGCATTTGCAAGGTGTTCAGTTCCAACTAAATCTTCAGTCACAACAGGCATTAGAGAAAAATAGCCACTAGAAAATCCTATTAGAGCACAAACCACAGCCAGGCCAACATATGTCTGCATTAGTGGCAAAGTAAGAATGCAGGCAACCAGGGTAAAGTTAGCCATGAGGAAGACATTCCACGTGCTGATGCATGGGAGATCAGAGATGATTCCAAGGATCACTTTACCAAAAATATGAACAATGGCTATAATGGATGTCAAGGGAAATACATTGTCCTGCCTAGATAAGTTGTACTGCTTGACTATTTCTGGAAGGTGAATAAAGGGAATGACAAAGCTGCTATAGGCAAACAAAGCCCAAATGATAAAGGCCACAAATACTCTATTGGTAAACAGTGATGCAGCTCCAAAGTAGCTGGAGTACCAGAGTGCAAAGCCCTTTCTGACTGTAACTGTCAGCTGGCTCACTGTCTTAAAGAGGCGCAGTCCATACATGCTCCTTCCACTTCCAGATTTACCTCCAATTTCTATGTGCTGCACACTGACAAGCACTTCTTCATTTGCTACCTCTTCTTTATTCTCTGGTTCTTCACCAAGGACTCCATTCGATTTCATAGTCTCTGTAGAATGGGACAGAGCTTTTGCCCGATTTTCTTCACTATCACTTCTCACCACATATTTTTCACAGAGGTCTTTGGGAGAGAGTGGTCTCATAAGTGCCCCACAGACACAAAGGTTCAGGGAGATGGCCCCCTGGATGAACATGGCATTCCTCCACCCAAATTCTGTGCAGAGGTACTTCATTAAGGCAGTCATTAGGAAAGCTCCAAACCCTGTTCCCGTGGTACTGAGCCCTTGTGCAAGTGCTCTTCTCTTCTGAAAATACTGCCCTACCATGACCACGGCAGGCAGATAAACCATGCCACTTCCAATGCCTAAAAAAAAAATAATTAAATAAATCTGAAGTTTTTGCCAACAATGTAAAAAGCAGTAAAACAGCTGAATGCCTGCCTGCCCGTGGGAAGTAGTGAATGAATTCCTTATCTTTGTTTTGCTTGTGCATTCAGCTTTTGTTTTATCTACTAAACGCTCTTTATATCATTTTTACCTTTCTGATTCTCTCTACATCCCACTGTGGGAGAGTGAGTGAGCAGCTGTGTACAGCTTACTTGCCTACCAGCTGTAACCCGCTTCACCCTTTAAAATGGGTTTTGAAGCAGTGCAGAATTCTCATAATTCAGTATTTTTTTAATGTGGAGCAACTTCTGGAGAAAACATTTGTTATTCTGTCCTATGACAAGGAGAGGAGTTAGCTAGATACGAACTTCATCTTTAAATTTTACTTGTCAGAGTTTCAGTTACAGTAATTCCCCTAATTAAAAATGTCTTCTAATGTATTCACTTGGGTGAAACTGATAAAAGTACCACCTTCACATGGCAAATTTAAACAACATCAGAAGTCACTGGGCCCAATCCACTGAGTAAATAAGTTTCCTAAAAAGATAACAGGCTGTTAAAGCGTGCAAGCAGAGCTGGAATAACTCTACAATCTACCTTCCCTATTTACTCCCTCAGATAAGCTTCAAATGAATCAAAAATAATTGAAGGAACCTTCAAACATTAGTGCAGCTCTCACCAGCTGTCACTCCAAAGGTGAGGAAGAGGTAATGCACATTTGAGGCATAGGCACTCAGTATCCAACCCAGAGCATTCAGTATCCCTCCAAGTATGGCTGTCGTGCGGCACCCACACATGCTGATGAATAAACCAGTAAATGGACCTGGTAAAAAACATGAAAGAAATTATAAATTATTTATTTCATTCCTTATGCTCTAATAATTTTTCACCTTAAGTTTCTTAATGTTTTAAATAAAATGTTAAAGTATCAGGCAACTTTTGCAACTCAGTTTATTTTTCATATTGTGCTGATGCTGTGTGAGTGCAAGATTTTTTCACGAGTAACCAGAAGTTAAGCATTTTATCTGGTTTTCAGTAGAATAATTTAGGCAGTTATTAAACATAACTTTTTCAGTCTTCATGTAGGGAGTCATAGGTGTGTATGTACACATATGCACAAACATTTCCTCCAGATATTATTTTGGGTTAATCCAACTACAACTAAAAAAATATATTTTCATTCAGCTGCCAAACTGAAATATAAGCTGTGCAAATTCAACACTTTCTCCTTACAGATAGAGTGTGGAGAGGACTCCAAGCTTCACAGATCATGTTTCCTTAATTCTAGTCAGATCTGGAAGTCACAGGCTTCCTTTCCTGCTCATACAGTCTCCTGGACTGTCTTCCATTCCATTTTCCCTGCTATTCCCTTTTCCCATCTAGATTGTAAAATTTGTCCTGGTGACTTTAAAAGGTCAGCTTGGGACAACTATAAGGAAATACTTCAGGGATGAATGGCAAATATATTCTAAAAATCTGTATAGTTTTAAAATATACGATGCTTGCACATACCTACAATAAGCGTGATGCCCATGCTGAGGGAGCTAACCCACGCTGTTAAGCCACGACTCTGATTAAACTCTTCAAGCCATTCCATGTTGAGTATTCCAAGGGCCATTTGGGAACCCATGATGAGTATGTGCACAAGGAAAGAAGAAAGTACAATCATCCAAGCCCATCCTCCATCGATGTTTGGGTTAGGTTTAATTGGCTTACTTCCAACTTTTGAGTCATCTCCAAAATCATATCCAATATCCTCTCGACTAGCATACATTTTCTCCACAGTATTCTGAAGCAAATGCAGTAAATACCTAAAAAATACATACAAAATAATCAGATTTTGCAGTTTGGTTATAGCAAACACCACAAATCACTATCATATTTCACCACTATGGTTAGTGCAGTTGTAATGAATACTGTGACTTCATTGTTCAAATGTAAAATGCTTAGAAAATTGTCACACTAATTTATTTCTTTGTGTAACTTGTTATCATGGCTGTCTGTGCAGGAGTATTTACAGGCTGACAGTAAGCTGCATTATTTCCATTACTACATATTTTACTTACTTTTAGGTGGCTGAGAGCCCTCACTCTTCATGGGTTGACTACAGTCACAAAAAAGACTGGTCTCTCTCTGTACATTACTTCTCTGTGTCACCTTCTGCTGTCCTGGTAAGATGATGTGCCTTTGTGTTCAAGTTCATAAAGCTTGGACTAAAGAAGTGAAATCCTGAAGCAGCAGGTAAATGAAGTTACCACATCTTTTCAGAGGAAACCAGTTTGGGGATGCATTTCTTCCTTAGCAGTGGAAGCACAGAATGAAGACAGCAAAAAATAAGGAATTAAGATTCTTAATTTTCAAAATGTTTTGTTTACATAAATCACAATGAGGCAACTTGAGGCAACTGCTACTACCTCTTTGGAAAGCTTTTTATTAGAGCCAACATGACAACAGTTTGCTACTATGCTTTCAGTTTCTGTAGTATTAATCCTTATAATCTTACTAAAACCAAAGAATACTTCCAAATTAATGTCAATGTCTATCATAACCAATCTGAGTGGCAGAGTTACATGCATAGGTGTACATAGGATCAGGCCACACTAGCTTAATTTGATTACTTTGATTTATTCTATTGTTACTCTAAGTGACGATTGCAACATAAGGTGAAAATAATTTGAAAACCACTTTTAATTGATTAACAGTCAAGGTGCAGAATCCAGTCTTCCCTCTATCTGATTTCTGCTGCAACAGATTCAAATCTTACCCAACTGTGGTGCACCACATAGGTTTCCATGGAGACTAGAAATGCAATGATACAACTTAACAGAGATGGTAATTTTTTGTCTTTTTCTCCAGAGAAATAAAAAGAAACATCAGCTTCAGGACAGTGGAAAGGGAAAAAAGTTATCAAAAATTGTTTTAAAAAGCTCATTATGTCTCCTGTGAGCCATCAGAATGTGTGCCTTTGGGCTGGCTCCTCACTGTTGCAAACAGGTAGTGAATAGACAGATCCAGATTCTGTACCAACTGAAAACTTGTCTTTAAATACATGAATACATTTTGCTTCTCAAGTTATGATCTTTCCAAACTGTTTTACTTTTTTTTCTTATTGCTAGATAAACACACAGAGAATGCCCTGGGGCATTCCACAGTAATCTATAGTTTAAGTCAGAGCTGGCCAGTCCCAGACACCAGTGAACACCTGTTGATATGTGCAGCCTCTCCAGCCTGGCTGCTGCCTAAGTTCCCTTTGTAATATTAAGACACTTGACACTTGCAGTGCAGGTAATCGTGTAACTAAGGGTAGCTTGAGCATGTAGGTTCTTCCAAGAGCACACTGATCTGCCTCACACGTGAGCTGCAGCTAAAATATGTTGCACTCCTGGTAGCAAATTTTTCATAGATTAATGTTCTTAAGTGACTAAATTGTCATTAGCTCTAACTTGGCCATGGGAGGTATTGGTGACACAGTGAGGAAGAACAAGAACTGTGCACATTTAACACTTGCTGCAGAGGCAGATAAGCTGGGATCCATTGATGAGTTGCCAGTGGAAATGGATATTGAAATGCCTTCCAGGCTTTTCCTTTCCAAACTGGGAAACAGAGAATGGGAATAGTGCTTCGAGGTCCTTCTAGAGATCCTGCAGAGTGTTTGAGGCAGAACGGGCAGCAGGGGAACAAGTCACAGCCATTTGGTGGTGCAGACTGGTTTTTTCACCATAAAAGGACAGACTAGTCACAATTGTTGAATTATATTATTAATTAAATTAAGGAGAACAGCCTTAGTCATAATCATACTTCACCCTTCCTCTGCAATAGGTAGGTCTTAAAGATGACATCTCAACCCTTTCCTGATAAAGTACTTGGAGCCAGATCCTCTGTTGCTGTAGGTTACAGGACTACTTACAGAGGATTCAGCCCACTCACCAGGCAGAGAGGGACTAGGTGCAAAAAGGTGATAAACACAGTGAATAATCATGCTAATGGGAAATAATGAGACGAGGCATGAGAATGAAGGAAATCTGTTGCACATGCTCTGCATAAGATTAATGAATATGTATGAGGGATATTACAGTGCATCTTAGATAATGGAATACAAAATTATGTAACTGAAGATTCAGAGTCAAGATTAAATGTAAACCCTCACCTTTCTCCCTTATACTTTTGACTGGTTTTGTGCACACCTGAATCCTGATACTGGATACAAAAAAAATCTTCTTTGGACAGGAAATAGGCTCATCTTTTACATATTTTAAATTATTTGAAGAAAAATAATTGATATTGAGCTGCAAAGTTATGACACTTCTCTTTGCAGTCTTGCTGACAGAACTGGCTTAGATGGAGTAGATGCAAGTTAACAAGTCATGCTTGTATCAACCCCCACAGATCTTCAGAAAATGCATATATTTTCCATTTGAAACAAATTCTTGCTAATTGTTACTTTCATACTACTAACTTTTTAATAAGGTCACAAGTTCAGAGTGAACACACTTGGAAGCCTCTCAGTCTCTGTATAAAGCAAGGATTGGATGCCTGGATCCCCTCCCAGGACTGACTGATCGTCCCATGGTCTGTTGCACCCAGGAGAAAAGCACTTACCTGCCTTCAACCTTCATCCCACACAGCATTTCCAAGAGCAGGCTCATGAATGGCAGAAAAGCAAATTAACTCTTTGCAATTGGGAAATCCTAGAGAAACTGTAATGAAAATGACAGCAGCTGATTTGTAAAGCCAGCCAGTTTCCCCTACAAGCAAGACAGGGAAGACCCACTTACAGTAACTGTTTGTATACAGCTCCTCAGAAGGAATTTCTGAGGAAATGTTTAAAGGAAGGAGAATCTGGATTCTTATTTGGTCACCTGGAAAAGGACGAAATAATTTTTTTTTCCCAGAAAAGCTTTTTAGACTATATGCACACAAAGCATGCAGAGCTCTAAGAAAAATGGCCCAAGCGTTAGTGCTTGCAAATATGCTGAGCATTTTTGAAAACCTGACTCATGATCTATTTTAGGGACAAATGCAGGTGCTGTGATAAGACTTAAGTTAGCAGCAAAACACCCAAGTTCCATGTACCATCAGTGGAGCTATGGCTTTCTAGCTTGTAGTTCAACTAGATCACTGAAGAACATCTGCTTTGCTATAAAAAGTCCATATGATGAATAATTTACATCTATCTGGTCAGCTTCTTCCAGCTTTTGACTGTGTCAGTGTTAAAAATTATAGAATAAAATTGTACTTTAAAGGCAGTTCCAATTGATAACTCATAAATGCATTATAGCTAGTAATGAGTTTTACTTTGTAATATTCCCAGTAAAACTGCCACATGTAATTATTTGGTTGCTGAAGGCATATAGAGGAAACATTGCTAAAAACGTGGTTTATTTTGGTTGTCATGTTTCCACAGTCTGACTTCACCTTGCTAACACGCCGAGCACTTCAGCTGTCAGCAACTTCACGGAGATGTGGACACCGGCCACCCCTGCCAGTCAGAGACCCAGTGCTTGCCCAGAAAGGAGCACAAGATCAGGGAAATTAAATGCTTAAAAGGCTAAACTAATTACCAGGATCACAAGTTTGCATAAGGTCGGCTGCAGTTCCGTTTCCAGAGCGGGGATGATGCCCTGCTGCCCCTCCCTGAGGGATGTTTCCCAAGCCGTGCTCAGGCATCCCCGGGGACCCCTCTGTGCCCCGCCGGGACCCCCGCCTGGTGCCGGTCCCCGGGGATAGCGGGACCGCCTCAGAGAGCGGACAGTTTTCTCCCTTTGGTACCAAGGGAACGGGCAGCTTTCATCAGGCGTGCACCTCAGTTTTGTACAGCCTGTTTCGGGGGCAGCCCGAAGGCAGGGGATGTACTTTTTTCTCCCAAGGGAACGGCTTTGGGAGCTTCATACGCGACGCCTTCCCCGCACTGGAGCTCGGTTCACCTACGCGAAGCAGAGCTGGG